TTTCGGGGTTAGGGGTTTCGGGTTTACGGATGAAGGTTTCGGGATTAGGAATTGGGTGTTACGGATTTGGGATTATGCTTTATAGGGCTTAGGGATATGGCGGGGGGGGGGGGGGGGGAGGCCATCAGCTCGTAATACCGGAGCCTAGTGTAGTGACTTCCATGTTTGGGGTTAGGGCTTAGGGGTTTCGGATGCAAGCTAGGGTGAAACAGCTGTAGGGAGAGGCCGTTGAAGAATGTGCTCCAAGGAATACCAAGGACCCAACAAGGGCCCCTAGAAGCCTTGATGCGCTCTGCCGCAGAACCACTCCTGCTGTAGTCGCCACTGCTGCTACTCCTCCGCCACGTCCCCTAGCACCGACGATTGTTTCTTCAACCGCTCCTAGTGTCATGGACTTCAACTACTGCTGTCACTTGCGCTTGCCACTGCCACAAGTCATAACTCTAAGGTTACGAAAGAAGGAGGGTAATGATGAGACTAGGACGCCGCCGCCGCCGCCGCCGCCGCTGCTGCTGCTGCTGCTGCGCAGATGATGATGATGATGATGATGATGATGATGCTGCTGATGCTGATGCTGATGCTGATGCTGATGCTGATGCTGATGCTGATGCTGATGCTGATGCTGATGCTGATGCTGATGCTGATGCTAATGCTGATGCTGATGCTGATGCTGATGCTGATGCTGATGCTGATGCTGGTGCTGGTGCTGGTGCTGGTGCTGGTGGTGATGATGATGGTGGTGCTGGTGCTGATGATGATGGTAACAATGATGGTGCTGACGATGAATATGATGATGGCGAACATGATGATGGTGATGGCAATATCATCATCACACAGACGGTGATGATCGCCTGTAGGACATTGATGAGAAACCTGCTATGCCTATATTGTATATAACAACAGTATATAGTCCTCACCACCACAAACCTCAGACTCTACACATACATGTATGACTGTAACTGTCAGCACCATGATTCCTAAACCATCTTTTGGCCCCAGATTGCTCCTATAACCCCGACCCGAGACAGCACCCCATAACACAAACCTCAACAAGCTCTCTTTAGACCAAGCTTTAAATCCTGCAACACAACAACCGGAAACCCAATCCCATAAAATCCTGAAACCTTGAACCCTAGACCACCAAACCCTACATCCACAACCCTAAACCCACAGCCCTTTTTGTCAAACACTATGGGTCTCCAAAAGGCCTCCACGGAGGTGCCTACGGCACCGAAGCACATGGTGTCCGCATAGACAAAAGCTGCCTGCTCTGCTCAAGAGCCAGACCCCCGGGATCATTACCCCCAAGGCTCCACGTACCTTTATAGTAGATACTTACGCCTTAAAGGGGTCCCTATTTAGGTACTCTGAGGCCTAAGTATCTACTATATGCGCACATGGAGCCTTAGGGTACATAATGGGGTTGCTTTAGGGGTTCCTTGAAGGTGTCTATAAGGGTTTCTATAAGGGTACCAGACCCCATGAAATGCAGGACCTTTTTGGGATAACCGATTGTATGGTTAGGATCCGATAAGAAGACACTTAGGCAACCAAACAAGGCACTCTAATTCAGGTCTAGGTCGGGGGTCACTTGAGCCTTTTTGGGGGGGGAGAGAGGGGCGGGGGTCTCGATTACAGTCCAAAGAAGCGTTCCACAGTGGCATCAATAGTTGTTGTAGTTGCTGTTTGATTTGTAGTCGTGGTTGTGGTGGTAGAGGTAGTCGTGGAAGTAGCAGTAGTAGCACTAGTAGCAGTACTAGCAGCAGTAGCAGTAGCAGTAGCAGTAGCAGTAGTCGTAATCGGAGTCGTAGTCGTAAGAGTAGTAGTAGTAGTAGTAGTAGTAGTAGTAGTAGTAGTAGTGGTAGTAGTGGTAGTGTTGTCGGTGGTAGTGGTAGTGGTTGTAGGGGTAGAGTAGGAGTGGGAGGAGTAGGAATAGGAGAAGGAGTAAGAGTAGGAGTCATGTTCATCTGCATGGAAGTCTCAAGCGGCTGGAACTTTTTGTAGCTCTTTGGTCTCACTCACTGGCTTCTTTGTTGAATGTGACACCCGCGACGAGGTTGCGCCAAGCCGCTGGAACTCTGTAGCACTTTGCTCTCACTCGCAGGCTTCTTTGTTGAACGTCTCACCCTCGACGAGGTTGCCCCAAAGCTTCTCGGGATCAATCAGCGTTTCTCCGGCAAAGGATAGAAGTTGGTCACACTTCTCTTTCGCTGACTTCTGCCAGCCCCAGATGCCGATTGTGGACACATACCTTAAGCAAAGGAGGAGCATGGGCTTCTTGGCTTCGGGCCTGGGGACTTGGACGACAATGCCCAGAGACATGCAGCCTCCCTTAATGCAAAGGCAGCGACATCGACGATAGGGTGTAGTTTAGGGTTTAGGGTTTAGGGTTTAGGGTGTAGGGTTTAGGGCGAGCTTCCGTCCGAGTCACTTGGGCCAAGGTTTTTGCTTCGCCTGGTCCTGGTGTAAAGTCTGCCACGTCCCGCTTTTGGCCATGCTGCACCTTACTTCCGCAGTGGAACACAGAAATGAGAGGCAAAGCTTTCCGGTTGTTGCTTTGAAACAGTATAAGAACCTAGAAAAGCTTACAGGTTGGGTATTGGGGATCGAAGGCACAAGATATTCTTGCACTTCTCCTGGGCCTGCGTCTTTGCTGCCTCCATCATCGCCTGCAAGTTCGCGTTCTCTGTCCAGCTGCATGTGACTCGGCTGAGGTCCGGATGGGCATTCTTTGTCTCAACACTACATATCGGGGTTTGCTTTCCCCGTCTTCCAGATTCAATTATGTAAGGTTGGCAGAGCACAAACTCGGACCGCCAAAGGGTCACCCAGCTGGTGCAGTCCCCATAGTCCAGTCCAGAGCACGTCTTAGATGCAAAAAATCAGCCAATCCTATCTGCAAACAATCTGGGCACTAGTCATGAAAAGACAAACACAACCAACGTGACTGATTATAAAATTACTTTACTGCTGCTGATGGAAGGATTCCTGCGCTCCTACATTACCACAAGCACCCTAAGCTGTTCCCTCTTACCGGTACTGAAAGATGTTGTCCATCAGCCGTATCACACCCTGTTTGGCGTGCTTGGAGCATCGTGGGACTTAGTAAGTATGGCTACACGGAGCTTAACTAAGTGAGGTTATAAGTAAGTAGTAACTATAGTGATCCTAGTAGTAACCCTAGATACTAAGTGAAACGATCCTTTTACTGACCCTAAAACCCTCTTGTCGAACCCTTATAGGACCATTTTAGACTCCCTTTCAGGAGCCCTGTAAGGAACCCTTGTGCACTAGTGCAGCCAAGGGGCATAGTACTCTCTTCCAAGAGAGGCGAGTATTGAACCGACACCGCCGTGGAATTTGGCAGTTTTGCAAGCATCGGAAGCCTTTCTCTTCGGATTGGTTTAGGGTTTTTGGGGCTTCGGGGTTTAACCCCGGAACCCTAAACCGTCGGGTTTAGGGTGTAGGGTTTACGGTTTAGTCCAACATAAGGGCGTTGCTTTCCGGATTTGCGTTTCGGAGGGTTTTGGAGCATTTGTAGCCTTACTAACCACTGCCTGTTTTTGGATTATTAGGGGCCTTACTAATTGCAATAGGTTTTTGGAGTAGTAGTCGCATAACTCCCTAAACCCTAAACCCACTAAACCCCTAACCCCTAAACCCTGAACCCTAAACACTAAACCCTAAACCCTAAACCCACTAAACCCCTAGACCCGTATAACCATTACCAAGGATGCTGGCCTCTGATAGCAACCCTGGCATTCGGGCTTGCCTTTCGGGTTTAGGGTTTAGGGTTCGGGTTTAGGGTTTAGGGTTTATGGTTTAGGGTTTAGGGTTATTCCTCGATTTAGAAAAGGTGAGCGGACATCATGATGGATGGCCTCCTGGGACTAGGGCTAACAGTACCTTCATTGGGGCATACGTATAGTTTCCCTATTAGTATCCTGAAGTATTCCTGTAAAGCCCTCAACCTCAAGACCCCAAAACCTCATGGAAAGGGTAGGGTTTAGGGTTTAGGGTTTAGGGTTAAGGGTTTAAAGGGATCCGGTCTACTGGTGTATTCCTGTCAGCAACTGCTTTCTGCCGAAGAAGCAGAGCTTTCCAACTTGGCCACGTCGGTGGCACGGTGAGCCCAAGTCAACAAGCCCAGGAGGGGCAATACCTGGTTTAGGGTTTAGGGTTTTCAGGTTTCCAGGGTTTAGGGTTTAGGGTTTAGGTTTTCAAGGTTTAGGGTTTAGGGTTTAGGGTTTCAGGGTTTAGGGTCTAAGTCTAGGTGTCTATGACAACTGCCGTGGCTATTGCTCTATCTACATCAGAAGGCAACTTAGTGACATATCTTGTTCAGAGTGGACCTGAGCATTCAATGGTTCGTACCGGCAGTGTAGCTGATTGCATTGTTGTTGTTCTGGTGTTTCAACCATCGGGCATATACACGTTCGACATTGTGTGGTTCAGCTCCTGCTCCTCCCTCTATGACCATGGGATGGTCCTGCAAAACTTTCCACACTGCCATGAGTACACCCTACCCTAAATCCCTTACTAAACCGCAAACCTTTGTCGGTCTGAACCCAAGGACCGCTGCAAAAACTGTTTTAGAGTGTAGGTGTACACGTATGCATGAGTGGGTGACATGAAAACAACTGGGAACAACAGGCGGAGGGAAAGGAGAGGAACACATATGAGTAGTTCTCTAAATCAGGGTCCCTTTTTAGGTCCCCAATATAGTACGGCACCCGTGTAAAAAAGACCCTAAAAGGCACCCTAATTTAGACAACTACCCATATGCCTCTTCCCGTGATGTACAGTGCTGTCAACCCATGGGCGCAAACACAAGCACGCGCCTGCGCGCACACACACACACATGCATGGTCACACATGTATCATACCCTCCCTCCCTATGTATGCGAACGTTGGCATGCTCGCAGATTTGTGCATACACATCTATGCGTGCACATGCACACCTCAGTGGGTGCATGCCTATAGATGCAGCGCATGCCTATGATTCACCTGTACACATGAACGCAGATGCACAGCATACACACAGTGACACTCTTGTAGATCCTTGCTTCAGCCCCAGCCCGCCTTCACTGGTAACATCGCCATCTGGTGTGCTCTCAAACTACGACAGAGCTTGCAAGAAGCATTCGAGCCTTTGCAGCCTGAGACAAAGCAGAATGAACATGGTGCGACTGCACCTGACATCTTCCCTTCCCCCCAACATCTCCAAAATCTAAACCATAAACCCCTAAACCCCTGAACCCCTAAACCCCTAAACCCCTAAACCCTAAACCCCCAAACCCTAAACCCCTAAACCCTTAAACCCGAAGCCCTTAAACCCTTGAACCCTACACCCTGACACCCTTAAACCCTAAGCCCGTAAAGCCCTAGAGTCGACTCCTCCTAGAAGCCTAGCCCTTCTAATGAAGGGGCCATAACACTTGGGATAGAGTTTTGGGTTTGGGGTTTGGGGTTTTGGGTTTATAGGGTTTAGGGTTTAGGGTTTGGGGTTTAGGGTACATAGGGTTTAGGGTTTAGGGTTTTGGGCTTTGGTTTATAGGGTTTACGGCTTAGGGGTTGGGATAGGGTTTTGGGGTATGTTAGACGAAAACAAACAAGGAACACCAAGCGAGTCGAATCTGATATTGCATTGGAAGTTGTGTAGCCCCTTATACAACGAATACACACCGGGGTCGCCTTTGACCCATAGACTCCAAACTCTCTTCAAGCATACTCGTTGGACTCGTCCTTGATTTAGAGTAGGTATCTCTTTCAGGGCACAGCAGGACCCAAGGGCATACTTAAAGTATCATGGGACTTAGTAACTCGGGTTATTGTGAGGGTAACTGTACGTATATTTACTAAGAACCCCGACTAATTTACTTATATAACCATACTTACAAAGTCCCATGATCCTCCAAGTAGAAGGGATCCGGGATCCTGTACAAGTATGTTGGCCCTCAACAACTTGTTAAGTGCACCCTTAAAGTCTAAAGCCCTAAACCACCCGCCCTAAACCCGTAAGCCTATACACTATGTTTCAAACCCAACAAAGAAGACGTGCCGTGAACCCTGAAAGCCCTCTGAATATCCACGAAACCCTAAACCCTATCAGCCAACCAGCCTTCGCAAGAACACGGTTGCTGTTGGAGGCCACCACCAGAAGTGGAACAGCACCCTCCTGAAATGGCATGTCATGGAAACCCTCAACCCTGAGCCTAAGCCTATACCCTAAACACTAAACCTTAAGCCTAAGCCTAAACCCTTACCCCTGAACTCTTAACTATGACGGTCTCCGGTCGCCGGAGGCCTGACCCTAAGTCCATATTCTACTGTTGTATATGCTTTGGTGTAGAAAAAGGCTTAGTGTTTCAGGTTTAGGGTACGTAACAATACGTATATGCTTTGGCCTCAAAGTCCACCTATCTACCGCTAAATCATTCGGCAAGGATTGCGGAGGACTGGAGACTATCCTTTGCACCATGTGCCCTAAGGCTCCATGTACCCATATAGTAGATACTTAGGCCTTAAATTACCTATATAGGGACCCCTTTAAGGCCTAAGTATCTACTATGAAGGTACATGGAGCCTTTGGGATGAAGCGAGACAGATTCAGGATCCCCATCCACACTTCGAAGATGTTGCTCTAAAGTCAGATGCTTTGTTGCTGAGTTCATAATCCACGGTTTTGGGTTTAGGGTTCAAGTCTATGAGGGGAAATGCAGTCCAAAACGTGCAAGGTGTATTCATTCAGCTACTGCTGATACAGCGTGAAAAAATTTTCCCTACAGAGCTCGAGTGAAAGTCTCGACACAAAGGACCCCATGTCGACCTGGGTTTCGCCGAACTCTTTCCCGCTACTTACCAAGAAAGCCTCTGCTGGGGCACACCTCTTCGCAGGGTGGACACAGAAAAGCAGCCCTCGTTCGGCTTGGCCTGGTCGGTTTAGGGTTTAGGGTTTAGGTTGCGATTTAGGTTTAGGGCTTACGGTTCCAGGCATGGGATTTTCTGGGGCCGTCTGTCACCAGTTCGAAAGACTTAAAGCATGTTCGTACTTAGGGTGTGCGCTTTGTTTGTTTCGGGACGCTTGGTAGGAGCTTCTTCTCTAGTGGGTGTGTAAATCAAAACCCACAGAAAGGAAGTGGCGTACTCGAGTCCTAAACAGTAAACTGAAACTTGAGCCCTAAACCGCCAAAACAAGTTCAAACCCTAAACCCCAAGACTCAACATCAATCTTGAAACTTCCAGCTCATAATCGTCCGCCGGCAAAAAAAAACCCAAAGCCTTTAAGCAGCTAAGCCCAACAGACCTAGAATTAACAAAAACCTAAATCCCTTAGCCCCGAAGTCCCCTGAGCTGCGAAACTCTTCACAACCCTCCAACATGATGTAGGGGCCTTAATAGCTAGACTAGGGTTTTGGGGCCCTTTATACTACTCTTATTAAGGAACCCCCACAAAAAAAGAGTTTAGGTAGCTATTTAGGCTTCTATATTACACCGCCCCACAAGATCCGAGACAACCCCTGCCAAGAGGGTCCATCTATACGGCTATTACACGATTAGGTCCCCCAAAGCTATGATTAGGGTTTAGGGCTTAGGGTTTAGGGTTTAGGGTTTAGGGTTTAGGGTTTAGGGTTTGGGTCCTAATTCCATAACCCTTAACCCCAAACCCCATATCTGGACCCTCTGGGCTGGCGTTGAGGACTCTAGAGATCTACGAGCTGGGTTTAGGGTGTAGGGTTTAGGGTTTAGGGGCTGTGCTAGCTCGACAACATCTGCAGAAAAAATCCCAACACAGACGGCAAAACCCCAAACCCGAAACCCTGAACCCCTGAACCCTAAACCCTCAAACCTAAACCCTAAACCCTAAACCCAAAAACCCTAAACCGAAACACACCCCGAAGTTCCTAAAGTACCGCAGCCAAAAAGCTAAGTCCTGGAAGTTTAGGGGTTTGGGATTTAGGGGTTTGGAGTTTAGGGACTTTGGGTTTAGGGGTTTGGGGATTAGGGTTTAGGGGTTCGGGGATTAAAGGGTTTAGGGTTCAGGGTTTAGGGCTTTGGTGATTCAAGGGTTTAGAGTTTAGGGTTTAGGGTTGGGGCTTAGAGTTTAGGCGTTCAGGGTTTAGGGGTTCTCTAGCTTCATCGTAGTAACAGATGATCTGTGGGGCATCATTACGACGGGTTTGGGGGTTTGGGGAAGGGTTTATTGCTACCCTAAACCCCAAAGCCTAAACCCTAAAGCTTTAATTTCGGGTTGAGTCCCTTTAGCTCTCGGCGACTTCACCGCAACCACATGAGGACGGGGCCTGCCAAGAAGTTGGCACTCCTTCTCCCCCAAAACGACCTGCGGGTATTTAAAGGTTAGGGTATTAGGTCACATGGAGGACCATGGGACTTAGTAGGTACGGTTATGAATTTGTACCTTAAGCGGGAATCTATTAAGCAAGGATAAGTATAGCTACCATGATCAATAGCCTTAGTAACTGCTTCCCATGCTCCTTCAAGTAGGGCACCAGTGTCGAGGAATTAGGGCTTAAGGTATCACAGTAAAAAGTAATCGTGTTTTGGGTCTGGGAGTGGGGATTGAAGGTTGTTCTTTTGACTTCGTTTCTCAGGAGGTACATCTGAGTTCCATCGATCTTAATCCAAGAATAACGACAAGTTCCACAAAAGGCGGCGACAGAAGACGTACCACAACTAGGCCTAGATTATGAACATGCGCAGGGTTGAATCAGCGCACAGCTTCCAGATGTCCATGTAAGGTAGGGCGAGCTCAGTGCTGAAAACTCAAATCGTTACTTCAGCGATGGAGGGATTTCGGTGCTTAGACACCCTAAACGCCGGGGCTCTTCACCTGCCCTACGGCTCCATGTGCCCAAACAGTAGATACTTAAGCCTTAAAGGGGTCCCTATATATGCACTTTAAGGCCTAAGTATCTACTATATGGGTACATGGAGCCTTAGGGCTGTAGCTTGTGAACCAAGCGTTTGCCTTTAGCCCAAAGGCTTCAGGCACCCAAGCTCCCCGGAGAATCACAGTCCGAAGGGTGCCATTCTTCGAATAGGTCTTTGGGAAAACATTGCAGTAACATAGTGGCCGTAAGAGTTAGGAGAGGATTTTGTAGTGTAGTGTAGAAAATGTACTGGCGTCAACAATTACAAGAGGTCTTTAGAGCATGTACAGTAGTAATGTAGATACCTAAGTATAGGGCTTTGGAGTAAAGTGTACTGCAAGCTCCACTTTGGGGAGCTTCAACCGCTGATTTTTTCGACCGCTGCATTGGCCAAACTCTTTGTGTCAGATTGTGGAGTCTGTGACAAGCTCCTGAATTTGCTCCATCGTTGAACGGGGAATGGCCTGACAAATTTCTGCGCCCAGGTCGGACGTCGTGACCTGCAGCAAGCAAGGGGTTTACGGGTTTAGGGTGGCGGTTGATGGTTTGGGGTTGAAGGCTCATGGCGTAGGCTTTAAGGTCTAGGGTGTAAGGTTTAAGGTTCAGAGTTCAGGGTTCAGGGGTTTAGGGGTTTGGGGATTAGGGCTAGGGGTTGTGCCTACCAAAGGGCAAGAGTCTTTGGACTTCAAGGGTCAGGATTTGGTATCCCACGATGGAGGTCGAAGCAGACCCGTAACCCTAAACCCTAAACCTGTCCTGACACCCCAAACCTTAAACCCTTAACCCTTAACCCTTATTCCCCAAACTCTACTTGGAGGATCATACGAGGCAGTCGCTAGGGCTATTATTCGGGGAACTGTGCTTATCATTACTTATAAAACCCCAATTAAGGTACTTATATAACCCTAAACCCTAAACTTAAACCCTAAACCCTAACCCCTAAACCCATACTTACTAGGTGCCATGGATCTTTGAAGTTAATCCGCAGCCCTCAAAAGAGCAGACTCTGCAATGGCTGAAGACAGTTCTGAAGACTCATGTAGGGGGCGGTCAATAAGGGTTTTGGGTTTAGGGTTTAGGGTTTAGGGTATTAGAACAGGGTTTTGGGGGTTCCTTATAAGTCTAATGTAGGGGCCTCAATAATTAGAATAGGGTTTTGGGGGTTCCTGATTATCAGTATAGTATAATATACCCCCCCAAACTCTATTCTATTCTTTGTTGAGGCGATATGAAGGAGCAAAGTTCTGGGACCGAAACCCTAACCCCTAAACCCTATAAACCCTAAACCCTAAACCCTAAACCCTAAACCCTAAACACTAAACCACCTTCAGGCAGCAACGGGATCCAGCACCAGATCGTGACGGCTCTGTGGGGTGTAGTGGCTTGGATGCACAGGGGTGCGCGGTTTAGGGTTTAGGGTTTAGCGTTTAGGGTTTAGGGTTTAGGGTTTAGGGCGCGGTATATATCCCTACCCATAAGCCCCATAGTAGTTCCCTTTTTGGGATTGCCATATAGGATTCTAAATATGAACCCCAAAAAAGAACTACTTTGGGGCCTATGGGAAAACCTAAACCCCAACATAGACTGTAGGATTTGGGACTGAGGTGTGTCTTCGGCTTGGGCTTTGTGCTAGACCGCAAGCTCCTTTGCTTATGAGGGTGTCGGCAAAAGCACACGACGGTTGCTGCGTGAAGTTAAGGGTGTAGGGTCTATAGGCTTTAGGGTGTCTGGGACAGCTGAGGAACAAAGACATATTGAAAGATGGAATCTTGCCCAAAGCACATTTGCTTGGGACGAGCACCATCCAGCAAGGATGCGGGTGGCGCCCACTGTGAAGCAACATGTCCCTTCTAAAGCACCACAACGCAGCTGCCGCAGAACACGAGGATTGCGTCGCCCACCTGTTATGACGATTTGGAGTCGCCAAGCTGCCAAATACGGGCTCAGACCATGCAGTTATTGCAGATAATTGCACTGGCGAGATGTGAAGGGCAAAGAAATACACTATTGTCCGAGTCATTGGAAGTTGTTGAGGGATCCCGAAATTTCCCCCTCAACACCATAGCCCATTCATACCGAAATCCTGAGCCATGCCCCCTTGCAAAGGAGACTTCCGAAGAAAACATAAAAGGTTTTGGGGCATATTCTACTGTGACAAAAGTAAGCGGCTCTACTAAGGAATAGTCTTGGCCATTATTCCAACCCCCTACATTGGAGCTTGTTCCAGCGCTTACGGAATGGGGCTGCTTTCGTGCGTAACTCTTCCCCCTCTCCCGACTCCGACCCCCAGAACTCCAAGGTTAGAAGTATGGGCCCCTAATATGGACCCTTAGGGGGGTTCTAGGTCCCTTAAGGGTACATATGGGATATATAGTAGGTATATAAGGATCCCAGGGTTAAGGGCCCATACTAGGGGCCCATGGCTTCAACTTTAGACCCCTAGAGCTCTACAGCCGTAAACGCCTATGTAAGCCCCAGAACCCGGGTGTAGGGGCCTTCATGACCAGAATCGGCTTTTGGGGGTATATTACCCTAAGGGTCCATTTAACCAAATAGTATATACTTTGGCCTTAAAGTAGTCCCTATATAGGTACTTTGGGGGAAATCTATCTACTATTTGGGCACATGGACCCTTTAGGGTTATGTAACATGTATAGCTGCTGCTGGGTAACACATGCACAGGGACTCTATACTGCTAGCAGAGATACCCGAAACCCCAAAACCCTAAACCCTCAACCCTAAACCCTCAACCCTCAACCCTAAACCCTAAACCCTGATACTAGAGGAACCCTACTACCAGGCCTCCACCTGCATGCCTCCCATTGTGCCACCAGTGGCTGGCGTCATCGCCTACGCGGCTCTATCAGGATTCATAGGGCTTTTGGCTTTAGGGTTTAGGGTTTAGGGTTTATGGCTTTAAGGCTTAAGGCTTTGAGGGTGTGTGCGGCATAGGTAGTATGGGGCTTACACGCTTAAGGTTCTAAACCTTGCATCCTTTCCATTTTTCTGAGGCCTAAGACCCTAACACCTTTGAAGCTAATTTCGGCATCTGGCTACAGTTGCGGGGACTGTATCCTGTACTTCAACGGGCATGCCCAACTCTTTTGTAGGGATTGGGGCTGCCGAATAAGGGGACACCCTGAAACTCGCACAGCCATGCACAGCCAAAGCTCTTGACTTCTGAAACCCGACCCCAGCCTAAACCCCAAACCCTAAACCCTGTACTCCCACAGTTTAGGGTTTAGGGTAGCCCAGCTGCTCTCTCCACGGCTCTGCGCAGCTCCAAGCCCTCATGACCGAAATCCAGTCTCCAAACTCTGAGAAACTGAGTCCCAAACTCGAAAACCGAACCCCTCCTACAAACCGAAGCAGCGCCGGTACAAGGGGCCTCCAGTACTCCAGGGGTATAGTAGGAGAAGGCACTGGCATAACACACCTCTTGGCTCGGCTCTTTCGGAGAAGAGACATCGTTGTTTAGCGTTTCGGGTTTAGGGCTTAGGGTTTATTGTAGACAGCTGACTAATGTCAGTCACACCCCTCACTTAAGAAGCAGGGGATCCTAATTGCTCAAAGACGGTAAGGCCCCTGCTGTTGATGATATAAAAGTTGCATTGCCCAGTATAAGGAATATACCACAAATCCCATAGTTTAGGGTCCTTCACGTACTGCGGGATTTGTATCATCAACAGTATTTTTGAGGGTTTGACATGTCAGGCTGCATCGGGTTTGGAGTCTACCTCAACCTACAACGACATGACTACGGTTTAGGGTCGAGGGTTTAGGGTTTAGGGTTTAGGGGTTAGGGTGACATGAGGGTGTGTAGGGTCCATTTGGTAGTTCTCTAAATTAGGATCCCTTATGGGGGCCTTTGTTAAAAGCTTCCGCACTGTTTTGGGTGACCTTAAAAAGGGACCCTAATTAAGAAAACTACCCATAAGGAAAACACAACCAGATTTTCCCAGTGACCTCTTGAAAGTAAGGATACCTTTTTTTACTGTCACTTTCAAGAAAGAGACCCCAAAATGAAAGAGAAAAAGGGTACTAACGGGGCCCAGAGGAACTTAGTCTTATCGGGCTGAATACCCTAGCCCAAAAAAAGTTAACCACTTCTTGCTGCAATCACATTAGGGTTTAGGGTTTAGAGTTTAGGGTTTAGAGTTTCGGGTTTTCAATTGTGGTAGGATGATCTAAACCCGAAAAGGATAAAGGTTACCAACTCAGGTACTAACCAAAAGGGTGCACAAATACTACTATTCTTGAATTTGGTCCCCAATAAGCCACAGAAACAAAAGGTTCAACCTTCCAATTTTCTACTAAACTACAAGAACCCAAGAAGTTTAAAGGTTGGGTATTGGGGAACTCAGTATATGGACCCTCTGGGTTCGTAGGTAGTGGGTTGCTACGGTCCAGCGCAGGGTTCTCGCAGCTACGGTCTTGGGTTGGGCGTCTTTGGTTTTGGAACGGCTTAGGGGTTTAAGGGTTTAGGGCTTGTGGTTTAGGGTTGATCATGTTTAGGGTTTAAGGTGAGTGTCTTTGGTTTTGGAAGGGTGCATGGACGCCCAAATCCTCGATCGTAATGTTCACGAAAGCGTCTTCTGATTGCATCCCCCCTCATCCCCGAAGAGTCCAAGAAATATTAGAGTATATACTTACCCACTAAGTACCTACTGTATTGGTACTTGGACCGTTTCCGGACCCGGTGGCTCCAATCTCTACCAACTAAGTAAGGATTGTACGTTGAATCATATTAGGGATCCTACTCTAAGATTTCGGAAGTACTGGGTATTTTGGAGTTCTGCAGCTTTCACCAAATATGGGTCGTCAAGGCCTTGACCCCATCTTCAAAGACGGCAATGACGTCGACGTCCTGCAAGGAAGGTTCAGGGTGTAGGGCTGTTGTGGGGCTTACGGCTCCGGGCGAGGATTTCGGGTTTGAGCTATAGTCTAGGTAATACAGGGGCTTGAATAATTTGGAATAGGGCTTCCGATATATATATATATATATATATATGTATATATATTTGTATATACCATAAGCAACCCTAAAGTAATTGTTCAGGCCCTCACTATATGTATAGTACTAGGATTCATATTACGTAAGAGCTTAAGGAAATTGCACGAGACCATCACCCGAGCAGCATCAAAAAGCGAACTAGGGCTGAAGAAGTTCAATTCAATATTCAGGCCAAAGCCGCAAAGAATTCTACAGGCACTAATCAAACCACCATGGGACTCATAATATCTACTGTCCGGTTACTATGACGGTACGTATACTTTTCATTACTTATACACCCAAGTAAAGTACGTATCATCATACTTTCTAGGCCCCACGGTCCTCCAAGCACTAACTACCCAAACAAGAACCACTGCGATCCGGTACTCCAGCTCCCAAAGCCACAACCCCAAACGGCCCGGAGCTGAACCACATGAAGTAGACGAATAAACCGAACCCTAAACCTAAACCCTAAACCCTAAATTCGACTGTAAGCTCCTGAAGTATGACGAATAAACCGTCGAGGGGACTGTAGGCTTTGGGCTTTAGCTTTTAGGGTTTTGGGGTTTAGAGTTTTAGGGTTGAGGGATTAGGGTTTAGGGTTTTTAGGGTTTTGGGCTTTACGTTCTAGTTTGGGGTTCAGGTTTATCGGCAAGCAATAATGGCCACCTCATGGCTGCGAGTGCTAGTTTCGTCTTCTCGGTATATATATATATATATAAATGTGTGTACACATATGTGTATAATATTTATATATACATCTCTATATATATATATATATGCGGCATCGGAAACTACAAGTCTTCAGGCACTAAGGAAATACAGTATTTGAGCAGCCCTAATTGCGAACTCCTGCTAAACCACAAAATCCCGAGCAAGCACCTTGACAAAAAGCATGTCGACTTCACTGCCTGTCACCCCTTGGACGGGGGAGGGACTTCAGTACTAGAGCGATGTATAATCGCCAACACGTGCACCCAAGACCTTCGGGCTTATCGAATTTCGGGATGCACTCTCCTAACACTTAAACCAAATAGTGAGGACTTGGGGTTTATAGGCCTTAGGGCGGGTGCTAACCTAAAAACCACTAGTACTTCGGATGATGACACAATTCCTGCATTACCCATAATAGGGAATATACCATAATTCCCATAGTATAGGGTCCTTAAGGTACTGCAGTATATACATACATGTATATATATATATATATATATGTATATATCAACAACAGCTAGTCATTAAATAGGTACTTTCTCAACCTGAGGGCACATGTGAGGGTGCAAGAAAGCCTCGGCACCCTCGTGGTAGGGTGCGAGAAACTGCCCGCCGCGCCTCAGTTCAGGCACCAAACAACATACCTTCCCCTAAGGCTCCATGTACCCATATAGTAGATACTTAGGCCTTAACGTACCTATATAGGGATCCCTTTAAGGCCTAAGTATCTACTATGAAGGTACATGGAGCCTTTGGGTTCCTAAGCTGTACTGAAGCTGTACTGAGATTGGCACCCCTTCAAAATCATGATTTTAGCCGTTTCTTGTGATATAATAGCCAAAAGCTGCTAAATAAAAACATTTCCGAGCACCCCCCAGGTAAGGACTTGCAGAAGGAAATCATCATAAGGAACCCCATGGAAGTATTTAAGGATTTTTTGACAGGGCTTGGTTACCCAAAAGGATACTTAGGCCTCAAAGGATAAGGGCCTAACTTAGCCTAACCTTTATAATTTCCTGTATTTCTCTTAGGCTTTCTCATTATAAGCGCACGAAAAGGTACCCCAAAAACCCTGTTCCAATTATTCAGGCCCCTATACCCAAGGGGTCCTAACATTGGGGATACTTGCCCAAACCATAATGGTAATTCCTAGTATAGAAACCCTACCTTCTACTTTATAGGTACTTCGGACCCTAAACCTTAAACGGAGACCCTTACAGGAAGCCCTTTAAAGGAACCCTTAAGGGAACCC